GATAGGAATTCTGGCAATAATGGCTAAAGAAAAAATTATGTAACATTACAGAAGGCACTAAAAGAAAACAATTTTCTTAACAATTTACATTATCTTTAAGAGAATTATAATGAAAAGGAAAGGTGAAAGTAAACAAACAGATCTGTTAACCTCCTTTTTTGTTCACATATTAAAACAATCCTCAACAGTTGTTTACCCAATTTAAATTAAACCATTTAAATCACATGAATATAAAAAAAATTTGGACCCATTTTTTCATGAGCGCTCATCATATATGATATATGGACATACGTACATTCAACCATATAACACAAAACACAAGTGTGCACACATAATATAATACATACAACACATAACCTAATAGTAAAGGCCTTATAACTTTTTACAGGTGAAATCTCCATTGCAATGTTTAAAAACTCTATAGTCAAAAAATAGAACTGATCAGCAAAACATTAACCTAGGTCTGTATGAGCTCAAAAAACAAAATAGAATGTGGGAAAGGGCAATAATAAAATTGATATTGAAAAAAGCATCCTGATTCTATTGCAGATGTAAGGATAGCCAAACTGGAGTTTTGGATATCAGCTGTTATGGACTTGAGTCAAGTCATCTTCTTTTTGGTCTGTAGAAATCGCTTTAGTTAATCTCTCTGGAATCCAAATCGGCTGCTGTTCTCCCTGTGGAAACACACAAACAGGCCCCCGACTCCAGACAATCACTGGGTCAGGACCTTTCCATTGTCCTGTTAGAATATCCTTCCAAAGTACCTTGGGCTTATGCACATTTTTTGGACACATATGCCTTTCCGCAGCACTAAGTCCTGATGAATCCAAATTTAAAAAGTTTAGAGTAAAAAGGGTTATTTTAAGTTTATCTTTGGGGAATATATACCCCTTCCCAATTCCGTTTTTTTGCTTTAATAAGTACATTTTAATAGTTTGATGAGCTCTTTCAACTATGCCTTGTCCCTGTGGATTGAATGGGATTCCTGTTATATGAGTAATGCCAAATGATGAGCAAAATTGTTTAAAAGAGGTAGAAGGATAACCAGGGGCATTATCTGTTTTTAACTGTTTTGGAATGCCCAGAGTGGCAAAATTTTGTAAGCAATGAGCTATAACATCTTTAGTTTTTTCTCCGGCATGAAGGGAGCCCATCAAAAATCCAGAAGAAGTATCAACTGTAACATGCAAATATTTTAATTTTCCAAATTCTGGCAAGTGTGTGACGTCCATCTGCCAAATATGGTTAGGTATCAATCCTCTAGGATTGACTCCAAGATTAACTTGTGGTAAAAAGGTCACACAATTTGGACATTGTTTTATTATTTGTCTAGCTTGTTCCTTAGTTATTTTTAAACGCTTTTGTAAAGTATTAGCATTGACATGGAACCTTTTATGAAAATTTATAGCTTCTTCTAGTGTAGAGAAAATATGTATGTCATGTGTAGTTTTATCTGCTAAATCATTGCCCAAACTAAGGGCTCCAGGCAATCCTGTATGTGCCCTGATATGTCCTATAAAGAATGGATCTTTTCTGTCCCAGATTAGACTTTGTATAGTGGAAAGCAAAGAGAAAACAGTAGAGGAAGGGGAAATCCTACCAGCATCTTCAAGGGATACTATAGCATTAACTATATACTGACTATCGGAAAATAAATTAAATACAGAATCTTTAAACATCACAAAAGCTTGTAAAACTGCATTAAGCTCTACCTTTTGAGCTGACTGTTTGGGTACTAAAAATGTAAAAGTTTGATCAGGTGTAACTACTGCTCCTGTACCATTATTTGATCCATCAGTGAATATATTTGGAGCATTCATGATAGGTGTTTTTCTTGTCATTTTTGGAAAAATTACAGGATGCGATGACTAAAAAGACAATAAAGGATTAGATGGTAAGTGGTTATCAAATGAAACATTAGATTTGCACATGATTATTGCCCAAGTATTTAACTCATTAGCTAACTCATCAATTTGATTCATAGTATATGGAGTAATAATTTTATTGGGAGAAATTCCAAACACTCCCTTGGCTGCTTTTATTCCTTTGAGTATTAATTGTCCTACAGCCTCAGGATACCTAGTAAGAATAGTGTTAGGAGAATAAGATAAATGTATCCATAATAATGGACCTTCTTGCCAAAATACTCCTGTAGGAATATTTTTTGTTGGTAGTACAATAAATAATAAAGGCAAACTTATATCAATTCTATCCAAATGCATATTTTCCATATATGTTTCAATAATTTTTAGTGCCTTTCTTGCTTCAGGTGTTAACATTCGGGGTGAATTTGGATCTGATGGACCTTTTAGGATATCAAATAAAGGTCCCAACTCTCCTGTTGGTATACCTAAATAAGGCCTTATCCAATTTATGTCTCCTAATAACTTTTGAAAGTCGTTAAGTGATTTGAGTTGATCTACTCGTATTTGAATTTTTGGTGGACGGATCATGGTTGAGGATAATAGAACTCCTAAATAATTAATTGGAAAATTTAATTGTACTTTATCTATTGCTATCTCTAGATTATAATTTTTTAATAAGTTTGTAAGTGTGGCATAACATTCTAGCAATGTGTTTTTAGCTTTGTGTGCTAACAATACATCATCCATATAGTGAAATATTTGTAGTTCAGGATTTTGATTTCTAAGAGCTGGATTACTTTGTTAACATAAATTTGACACATAGTTGGGCTGTTAGCCATCTCTTGAGGGAGTACTTTCCATTCATATCTCTGATCAGGACCTTCATGATTCAGTGCAGGGATAGTAAATGCAAAACGTGGACTATCCTCAGGATGAATTGGAATTGAAAAAAAACAATCTTTAATATCTATAACTAAAACATACCAGGTTTTTAGCAAAGCAGACAACTGAGGAATCCCTGATTGAGCAGGTCCCATAATAACCATCTCATTATTAATGGCTCTTAAATCTTGCAATAATCTCCATTTACCAGATTTCTTTTTGATGACAAAAATGGGAGTATTATGGGGAGATACAGAAGGTTGTATATGTCCTTCCGCTAATTGTTGTTTGACCAGGTCATGGGCTGCTTGTATCTTTTCTTTAGTCAGGAGCCACTGAGGAACCCATACTGGTCTTTCTGATTTCCAAGTAATTTTTATTGTCTCAGTGGCCCTTTCTGAAAATCCAACCCATGTCTGTCTGTTCCTTGATCTATTTGTATTGGTGCTGCTATACCTTGTTCTTGTTTTTCTAATCTTTTTCCTTTCCTAAAACCTTGTCTAGTCATAATAGTGGGTGCATTTTGGTTGATGTTATTTGTTAATGTCAAACCTAATTGATCTAGGACATCTCGTCCCCATAAATTTACGGGAAGATGATCCAATACATATGGCTGTATAGTTCCTTCACATCCTTCAGGATCCTTCCAATCTAATACCATTGCACTTCTATGGGGATTAGTCGCCACTCCTAGGCCTCGAAGCGTTTGAGTGGCTTGTTGTAATGGCCAATGTTTTGGCCATTCTTGACGAGAGATGATGCTAAGGTCTGCACCTGTATCCAGTAGCCCATTAAATTCATGTCCTTGAATATTTAGTTTTAGCATGGGGCAAGAATCTAAATTTAAAGAAAGCACAGCCCAATGTACACCTGTGGAGCCTAATCCCTTGGAACCTCTTTCTACAGTACGACTGGAAAATTTATCATGTAGGCTGGGTATTATTAGTAACTGTGCTATTCTATCTCCTGGTGAAATTACTGATATACCCTTTGGAGAACTGGCTATAATTTTCATTTCACCTTCATAATCGGGATCAATTACCCCAGGACTTATCATAAGTCCTTTTAGAGTAGAAGAGCTGCATCCCAATACTAAGCCTACTGTTCCTTTGGGAAGAGGTCCTTTCACCCCTGTGGGAATGATTTGAACTCCCATCTCTGGAGTTAGTACTGCTCTGGCGGAGGCGCAGATGTCCAACCCTGCGCTCCCTCTGGTTTGTCTGATGAGGGATCTGATGGACAATGTGTCCTGGGCACTACCCTGATGGGGTTGCTGGGTTCCTCCAGTGCTCCGTATATTTGTGGTTTTGGGCCCCGGAGCATTGGGACCCCTGTCCATTTTTTGGCAACGGAGCCTGATGCCTTTCTCCATGATATCGTGGATAAACACCTGGTCCTTGTTCGTTTTTTGATAATGGAGTACCCTCTATGGTGGTTTGAGAATGGCATTCATTAGCCCAATGTCTCCCTCTACGGCATCGTGGGCAAATACCTGGTATTCTACTCCTTTGATACCTAGTTTTGTTAAACCCTCCTCCAATGGGGCAATTCCTTTTAAAATGTCCTGTTTGTTCACAATTGTAGCATGTTCTTGACCTGGCATCTAAAGCCTGTTTTACTGCAGCTGCCACAATTTGCCCTTGTTCATTAATGTCTCTGGCATCTAAAGCCTGTTTTATTGCAGCTGCCACGACTTGCTCTTGTTCATTAATGTCTCTACATAATTTAATATATGTGTTTATTAACTTACACAGCAATCTCACAATAACTAGTAAAGATTAAAAGGGTGCACTCCTAGTATATTTGTTTGCAGTGTTTTAAGGGATTGACTTTTATTTCCATTCTCTCCTTTCCCTTTTCAATGTTCTTATCTGCCTCTAGGGGCTTACAAGAAAATTATTTCCATTTTAATTTTGACTTCAAATGTTCAGAGTAGGATATTTGCTATTCTGTGAGGATTCTTTTGTGGGTAAGCTTTAGATATCATTATTTCTATTTGTTATAGTTTTGATCAAATCATCAAATTTAAATTCTTCCACTGTTTCTTAAAGGAATTTGATTTTCACAATGCCTTGCCTGCATAGCATTTTTTAAAAGAAAGAAAATACAAGCAAAATCTATTGCTCAAAAGGGTGAGGTGGAGTTTTTTGTTTTAAAACAAACAATAGCTATCTCAACAATTTTAAAAACCTTGGGAGAAAGAGTTAATTGGAACTGATTTTATCATGAATAATTAAATATTAAAAACTTGTTCTGAAGCATTTGGTTATTTTTTTTCTCCCAGAGTCTAATAAAGTACATGTGAAAGGGTCATTTGTCTTGGTCAAAAATAAATTTTATGCTCATCTACTTGTAAGTACTCAGTATGTTCATTAGGACTCATTTTGAGGACACACCAGAACCCTTTCCTCATTTAAGCATTGCCCACCATGATGGCTAAGTTTTGATCTCAAAGAAGGTCTAAGTAATTTATATCAGTGCTCAAGAATAATTTTGGACATCTTGGCCTAGAGCAAGTGGCTATATATAAAACTGAAAGATAATTCCAATGGGTTTGCTGCATTGCCACCTCCTGTTTGCTTTGTGGGAGGGTGAGAATAGGGAATGCAGATAAGAGAGAGGTGAGAAAAGCAGGGAAAGATCAAGTAGGTAGGTAAATGCTGCTGAGAACATACTGCTCCTTAACCAAGCCATGCTCATATTGTTGAGATTTCCATCATTTTTAAGTACATTATCATAACATTAAAAAAAGAAAAATGTTAAGAAAATATATCTGATCTTTAAGGTTATCACTGGAATATGCTGGAATCTTTTGGCTTTTTGTAAAATATAAATAATGAAGACACTGACTTTTTTGTGCTTGTGAAGCTAATAGATCATCTCCACGAGACAGGCAGCAATGATGAATTGCAATACGTTATTACTGAAGGGAAAAGGTTCAAGCCAATATTCACACTGCAGTCAATGAAAGAGTACGGGAGCCAAAGCAGTGAGCTTCTGGAGAAGGGTTGAAGATGCCATGAGGGATTAGCAGGAACAGCCTCCTTCACTGACTGGTTGTTCCTGAAGCTTTTCCAGTTTAATGTCAATCATGTCTTCTCTGCTTCTGTCCTGTGTGCTTTCCATTCCAGGTAAAGCCGCTGCTACACGTAAAGAGCTGCTTTACGTTGTATCCTGCTTTTGCACTGGTTTCAATGAACATAACATTCAGTTCTTTGGCTTTCCTCTCTCCTTCCTCAATTGAAACTTGCCTCTTGTCAGCAAGATCTGTTTTATTTCCTACTAGCATGATGATAACATCACTTCCTCTTTCTGTTCTGACATCATCAATCCATTTTGTAGTTTGCTGGAATGAGTTAACATTTGTGATATCATAAACAACAACTGCCACAGTGGAGTCATGAATGTAGCTAGGAATCAAGCTCCTGAACCGCTCTTGACCTGCTGTGTCCCATAATTGCAATCGTACTGTTCGATCCTCCAAGTACATGGTTTTTGATAAAAAGTCAATGCCAATTGTTGCCTGATAAGTGTTGTCAAAACTGTCATACATGAATCTGGTGATCAAGGATGTTTTTCCAACTGGGGATCACAGTAGAAAAACTCAGCTGCAAGCCAACTTCACTGAACTATCATATCCAAGGATGTCTCCCCTAGGTGATGCAATTCGCTCTGCTCTCCTAGGAACACCAGCTTGAATTTCCTCAGCGGATTCCCGAAGTCTCGGCCCGCGGACATGATGGAGCCGGAGGAGCTGCCACCGCCTCAGCCCGGAGACCTCCCGGACCAACGCTGCTCCAACCAGGCGAGCGGAAGGGCGGGCGCCGAGCTTTCTCGGCCCCTGCAGGGCCAGGCGAAGGAGCAAGGCTGGAGGGCAGCAGGATTCTCCACAGCACGCAGCCGCAGCCGTCGCCGACGACGCCGCCTTCCCACAGAGTAGCCTAGCACCCGGCGAGGCCAGCCGCAGCGAAGGGAAGGAGGGCGGTGTTGGAGGCAGCCAGGGGTGTGTGCGGGGCTCCCGAGGCTAGCGCCGTCTCTTCCCTCAGCACCTGGCACTGAGACTAGGGTGGGAGAGGCTGAGGGTGGTGGGCCCCGCAGGAACCGCAGACGCGTCTGGGACCTTTCACTCGCAGTGTCCCGACTCCCATAGCTGCCGGGCCGCAGCCCAACCCTAAGCCACATGCTTGTTGTTTAAACAGAGAGGGGGAGATGTTGAGAGCCACAGCCGAAGGGGCCCCAGCAAAATTCCAGCTGCCAGCAAACAATGAGTTGTGACAACTCCTGTGAAGTATTGTCTAGTGGAAGCTCATAACATACTGATTTCCCAAGGTTTTCACTAGGGGTTAATCACATATGCACCAGCATATACAAAATTTCACACTCCCAGAAGGTAACTCAGCACAAACCATACTGTTTTTACAAAATATTTAGGCATAGCAAGCGTGTGTATCAACTGGGAAAGTTTATAATTAGGGCAGGAAATTGGTTACCCAACAAATCCCCAGGCCAAGAATACAAATTGCAAGCAGGTTTTTCCTGTGTGTAGCAGCCTTGGACCGGCTATGTTAACTCTCTTTTCCACAATTCACCCCCCAACCTTGGTTCTTGGACAGGGTGTCTTCATCAGTAAGATCCCAGTTAGCAGGACAAGAATAAATCTGTAGTATTGATCTCAGTTTATGCCCTTTAGGGGTCCTGCATTTAGCCAGTCCAAAAAAAAAAAAATCCATTAACCACAGAGATCTACTTTAGACAGCTAAGTGTCTTCCTACATGAGTTTTTGTATTAACAATTTTTAGAACATGAGTCAACCAATAAAGTATAGCACAACTCTGACCAGTAAGTCAAAGCTGACTTGAATGCCTTCCAAGGCTATGGCAACATAAAAACAGAGCACACATGAGAGAAGAACAATATCAGAGGGCATGAATGTTACCCCTGTGCCCTCTGGTATTAGGCAATTGTTAGTTCATCCCAAGGAAAGCACACTCAGAATGTACAGATTAACAGGACCTCCAAAGTGACTTCCCCCAAAGGCACATCTTCCCAGGATTTTCAATCTAGTCTAATTAATTCATTGTAGTCCTTGGTTTTAGACAGACTGCCTGAAGGCAGTCAGTTCCCCAAAATTTTGTTTGTCCATGATGTCAGTACATCTGTCTTGTGTCGATACATAATTCAGATGTGATCTTCATAGAAAATACAGGATCTGGGACCACCTGTACTGTCTTATAATCAGCATTGTCAGATATGATCTTAGGCTCAGCAGTCAGTTTGAATTCAAAGCACTCTCAGTAGCTTGAAGATAATACTTATGCTTTCACTGGGGAGGAGGAGAAAGCTTCTAGGAGCAGTTCTGACAAACGAAGGTCTCTGGTGCCTTATCCTTCCTTCCCTGCCTCTCTGGGAGCCTGTTTTCGGTTGTTTTTTCAGTTGTTACAACTGAAACAGTTGTCTCATTCAGTAATCATAATTTACATTTTTCCCAATCATTTTTTTGGTCTCACCTGGATGATTCATCTGGATAAATTTTATTCAAGAAGGACCAAAGTATTTTCATGGAAAAACAATTGTTTTGATCAAAGCCTAGATTTTCAAAAGTGTTCAAAATGTGTTTATACAGTCCCTACCTCTTTTGTCCTGGCCTTTTATCCAATGACAGTCAAAAAAAGAATCATTTCTTTCTGAAAATATCCATATTGAATATTTAAACTATGTTACTAAGGTGTGTTTAACAGGAGAAAGGCAAGGAAAGTAGACTTAGGCAATCAATCCACAATCACAAACTGCAGCTAATCCAGAGTCAAATAGAACAAGTCAACAATATCCAGCCATCCTTAAAGAGTCAAGTGTCTAATTTGTCATAAGTAGGTAGACATGTCACAGCCCTGTGCTATGCTTCTCTGACTTGTAACTTTCAACTAGAATTACAAGTTTAGAATACAATTAATCTCTGTATTGGAAATGAACTATTCAAAAGTTCTTCAAAAATTCTGTTAAAAGGTCACATTAGAAAAATCCCTGAGCAGCCATATGTAACCCAGATAGTTCAGTCAACATCCAGGGCGCTTTCACAGTATATATGGTCACACAGAGGAATGTCTTAAACCTGCAAGTCTCTGTTTGTGTTCTGCTTTTCAAGTGGAAGAGCAATTTCATCCAGTTTCAATTCAGAACAGTTAGTGTTGAGGATCAAATGGCATACAGAAAACAGCATCAGGTTTCAGATTAGAGTCAGGCATAGGCAATTAGCAACTGCAATTATAGAAGTTCAACCAAGTCAGAGGCTTTTCTTAGTCATCAGCAAAGGAGATACCTTGAAGGACCATACAGCTGTGTTTCAAGTTCAAGTACCAAGCAAGGTTTTCCTAAGCTCTTTTTACCTTATCATTAGAATCCAAATTGACTTCAACCATATGCACATCAGGACAAAAAAATCAATAGGCTATGGTGGAGAAACATTTCACTTCAACATGAGCTTACATTTTTTAATATTTATTTTTTAGTTATAGGTGGGCACAATATCTTTATTTTATTATTTTATTTTTATGTGGTGCTGAGGATCGAACCCAGTGTCTCACGCATGCTAAGCAAGTGCTCTACCACTGAGCCACAGCCACAGCCTTTCAACATGGTCTTATTAACAAGCTAAAAAGTTTTTTTTAAATATCCTAATGGTATATCTCCATCTGGATTTGCCTATCTTCTCACAATGTCTATATCCCTTTGTATAAAGGCTGTAATAAGGAATAGTCATACAAAAGATCATCAGTTACATAAATTTGTTCTCTTCCTTATGCTGAGAGTTTAAGTACTAATCTGCCCACCATCAGGTAAAAGCAAGGGAATTATGTTGCATTAACCTTTATAGATTTCCCTGATCATGATCATCCTGCCACAATTTATGAAATTAAATGCATATACATTTTAAAAATTATTTTTATACATATTTTTGTTGCTGAAGGACCTTTATTTTATTTGTTAATTTATATGCAGTACTGAGAATTGAACCAGTGCCTCACACATACTAGTCAAGCACTCTACCACTGAGCAAACCAGCCCACAAGCATATAAATTTTATGTTAACTTTTATTATGCTTCCACATATAATAAACAAAAAAGTGGAAAGGTGATTTTTTTCTCATTTTTTAAAATTTTAAACTAATACACACAAAAAATAGAAGTAGTTATATATTTGTGGGGGTACCATGTAATGTTTGATACATGTGTGCATTGCATAATGTTAAAATCAGGTTAAACATATTTATGTCCTCAAATATTTATCATTTGAAAACTTTCAAAATCTTTTCTTCTAGCTTTTTGAAATGGATAGTACATAATTGTTATGTATAATCCACATACTGTGAAATGGTATCTCAGAGCTTCTTGCTCCTATCTAACTATAACTTTGTACCCATTGATCAGACTTTTCCCATCCTTTTCTCCTCTACCACTGTTCTGGCTTTTGTTAACGACCAATGTACTCTCAACGTCTGTAAAATCAACATTTTTAGACTCCATATATAAAATCAGGTGGTACTTGTCTCTCTTTGACAAGCTTATTTCATAATAACATAATAATCTCATAATAAATATGTTATCTCAGATGACTGGATTTCACCCTTTTCATGGCTACATACTATTTCTTTGCATATGTACCATATTTTCTTTATCATTCATCAAATGATAGACATTTAGGTTGTTTCCATTTCTTGGCTATTGTAAATAGTACTGCAATAACCATGGTAATGCAGATGTCTCTTCAACATACTGACATCATTTCCTTTGGGTATATATCCAGTAGAAGATTGATGAATCTTATGGTAGTTCTATTTTTAACTTTTAAAGGAAAGTCCATACTATTTTTCATAATGGCTGCACTAATTTAAATTTCCATCAGTGGTGTGCAAGTGTTCCCTTTTCTCCACATCCTTTCCAAAATGTGTTATCTGCAGTTTTTTTGATAGTCTTCATTCTTACTGGGATATGCTGATATTTCTCTGTAGTATTGATTTGCAATTTTCTGATGATAGGTGATGTTGATTTCTTTAGAGAAATGTTTACTTATATCTATTGCCCAGTTTTTAATCGTTATTATTATTTTTTGATATTGAATCTTTAGAGTTCCTTATATAATCTGTATATCTGGATTTCAACTATTGTCAGATGGATACATTGCAAATATTTTCTCCGCCCTGTAGGCTGTCTCTTCACTCTCTTCAGTGTCCTTTGCAATGCATAATTTTTTTTGTACCAGGGATTGAACTGAACTCAGGGGTGCTTAACCACTGAGCAACATCCCCAGATCTTTTAATTTTAAAATTTGAGACAAGGTCTCACTAAGTTGTTTAGGGCCTTGCTAAATTGCTGAGGCTAGCCTCAATCTTGTGATTATCCTGCCACAGTTGCTAAGTTGCCAAGGCTGGCTTTGAAATCCCTATCCTCCTGCCTCTGCCTCCCAAGATGCCGAGACTACAGGTGTTGTGCAACTGTGCACAACAACAATACCGAACATTTTTATTTGATGTAATCCCTTTTGTCTATGGTTGCTTTTGTTTCCTATGCATTTAGGGTCTTGTTCAAAAAATTGTGCACTATCAATACTCCATCATATATGTGCAGGGACCAACTTCCTCAACAAGACCTCTAAAGCTTAAGAAATAAAATCAATAATCAATAAGTGGAATGCTGTCAGGTCTGGGGCTGGGACTGGGGCTCAGCATTAGTGCACTTGCCTGGTGTGAGTGAGGTACTGGGTTCAATTCTCAACACCACA